AAGTGTCATTTCTTCAGTGTTGTCACATGAAAAGATATAATAAAATATTTACAAAAATCTGAGGGGTGTACTCACATCTGTGAGATACTGTATATATATATATGTATATATATAGTATATATAGGCCTATCTAGTTTATTTTAAGTCTGTTTTGTCTGCATCGCCATATGAGTAGTTTGTGTTGACTGTACACTAACGATTGAACCGTTGTGTTACAACTTTGAGACACATTTGGATATCCATGCAGAGGTGTAAAGAGTACCTAAAAACCATACTTGAGTAAAAGTACAGATACCTTACAGTGAAAATTACTCCACTACACGTTACAAGTCACCAATTCCAAAACAACTTGAGTAAAAGTCTTAGAGTATCTGATTTTAACAGTACTTAAGTATTTTACTTATACTAAATATAGGCTCAAAAAATGCACTAGTCAAAGAGATTGCCAGTGAAAAACTGTAATGTTGTGGAGAAGCTGGGGAAAAAGGCAGAGGCAAGGATCTATGTGTAGGTATTTAATGGAAAAACTAGAACAAACAATAAGCCAAAAGCCAAAAACCAAAGGGAACAAAGAACAGAATGACTGGCAAACAGACAACCATTAGGCCTACATTAAACAACTCACAAGGAACTAAATAAAAACTAGGGCTATATATACACACAGGGGGCTAACAAGCTTAAAGCCCCATTCACACCAAGAACGATAACTATAAAGATAACGACATTAGCGTCCACACCAGCGGACAATATCGTCTGATTATTCTACGCGTACACTCGTCTGTCGCTTTAAATTCTCGAGCTTGTGATAGCAGGATTGATTCTGATTGGCTGTCAATGTTTTTATCGTTCATCAACTGGAAAAAATCCAGTGTTGCCAAGTTTTCCCGCGGAATTGGGCTACTTTGTTGCCGCGGGTTGTTTTTCATATCCGCGGGTTGAAGCGACTCCAATAACATGACATTAATCCCCTGGAATGTGAATTTTAGCAGGGGAACCCCGCCAAACAAACCTGTATTTTACCCCCCGGAATGCTATTTTTACCTGGAGACCCCCTCAAAAC